TGTTGTTTCAATCATGACCACCAATTTAAATTACATGAGGCATAGTAAGGACATTTCAATATCTACACAAGACTGGTATTTTAATAACATGTAAAATCTTAATATTGAAATAATTCCATGGAGATTGTCATGTAGGGAAATAGATTTTGGGTTCACTAGAGCCCCCCCATATGTTTATTTGAAACAATATAAACATTTTTTGAGTGTGTCTTGTGCTAAACCTTTTTCCCCTGGAGGGCTACAACAGAGCCTGAATTACTTGAGGTCCTCACTCAAATTGTGCCTGACTCATCTAAGGACAGGGGATGAATTTTAGTGTGAAGACTTGGCTGACACTGTAGGCTACTCTCCATAATCTTGTTTTTTTAAAGGAAATCTGTCTTCCTAATCTCATCTAAAAGATATCAGAACTTATTTGTATGTAGGATAAATAGCAGACAAAGAGAAATTTTAACAAGAATCCCTGGATAGATAATTAATACAATTAACCAAATTCCATAAAAACTCCAAAGTGCCAACACAACAAAAATTAAAAGTAACTTTAAAATCTTAAGATTTGACATCTACATCTTGCACACTAGAAAACAAATTCTACTTCTTGTGCCATAAATCAGAAGAGATAGTGACACACTTGTACTTCAGGCCAAAAAAAGGCCCACAGTAATCAATCAAAAAAAAATGGTGCTTCTCTGTGCCCTAAGAAATTTAAAGGATTGGCAATAAAGTGAACTGAAAGTGCAGAGTATGTGTTTAGCATATACCAGCAAATGGACTCTTTTGGTGGCTTTTCTTATAGGGACACAGATGGGCAGCTCCCAGGCAAGGTCTGGGTGTAGGTGTTTCCTGTATAAATAAATGAGATACCATGATATTTATCCTAAATCCATTCTCAGACTCAAATTCCCTTCCTAAACCTCTCTATCTGAATTAGCCAGTACCCTAAATACCTCAACATAATGTTCTTTTTCATAGCTAAGTTTAAAGCACCCCAGTGATAAAACCTGTTGACAATGTTAAATGTGTTAAAAATTACTAAAAATGATATACTATTGAAGATACTCATGTGCTATGTCCTTATGACAGGAAGACAGAACTTGGGAAGAGTAAGTGACTTGTTAGAGATTAGAGATATGGTGGTATCCAGATATACTGTGACCTGAATTATGCCTCTCAGTGATAGCTCCTCTCACTTCAGCTCTCTCCTTTCTTGATCTCCCCTTCTACTCCCTCAATGAGCCCTTCCATATCATGTGCCTTTATCCTTGGTGCCTCATCTCTACTCCTATTTCACAGAGGTGGCCTCTACTTTACAAACTGGATTCATTTACAAAAATACTCAGTCAAGCCCCAGGAGAGTTTGTAGGTACCTGATCTTCAGAAAACTACTCTTTTCTACCTGCAGAAGCTCTGGGCAAGTCCCTAATTCTCTGTATTGCATCTTTTAGGATATAGGGCTCTTTCAGCTTTTGGAAATGGCCTCTCTCACTTTCCATCATTATTAGAATTTTTGGGCTCAAATTTATCCAGGTAAACAAAAGTGGCAGGGTGGCCAGGTTGATTGCCAACATCTTTCATCAAGATCACACCTTTGTTTATTCCACTAAGATCAAGATTTCCTTCTCCTCCCTTCCTGTATCTGAGATTCATCTGCATATAACAAAATCTGCAGGGCTTTGATCATAAGCCTTGTTTCTGTATCTACCTGTCTCCTCGTCCATCACTCCACAATTCTATTATTCTCTTTAGGGCACAGAACTGTGTCACTTGAGTAGAGGGGAATGTCTTTATCAGATGTTGTATTTGGCCAGGCAGAAGTACACACAGATCCCAGTGTCTTCCTTGAAGACCAAACTTGCCCTGTATTCTTGGCCTTCCCAGTCATCTATGAAAGCCAGAGGAGGGAGCATGACCTTCCTTTAAGGCAGAACAGAGGGCAAGGAGAGTGATCATGGAGGCCCAGAAATGGGCAAAAATGCCTGTGATCAGGAAGGGATAAAATGGGGCAGAGAGGTCTTCAAAGGAGACACAATCTAAACTTTCCACCCAGGTCTGGTGTAAGAGAAAGTTATTTGAAGAGAGTATTGAGAGTCTGCTTCCATGTTTTCTAATTCAAAATACTAATATCTTTCCAGAATTTGCCATGTTCCAGAAATGTTTTTAGATGTTGGGTATGAGTATTTCAAAGATATAATGCAGACAAAAAGAAAAAAGAAAAAAGAAAAACATTTTAAGCCATTTGAAGTTTATGAGAAACCTGATAGGAAGAAAAGAAAAATTGCATCTGCCAAGTCCACTGATTCATATGAATCATTCTCACTAGAGTAAATTAAAAATTGCAGTCAAAAATATGATTGTCTGACCCTTTGCTTCAAGGATACATTGTGTTGTGGCATCTATCACATATAAACTATATAACCTTCCTCCATATCTTGTCACCTGTAGCATTTTTCTCTTTTTTTCAATTATTTTAAACTTATTTCAAGCAATACCCCAAACAGAAATAGTATATCTATTAATGAAGTAAATAAATCTCTTGATGAATATATATAGTGGGTCTTATTTCCTCAAACACTGTTTATTTACTCTTGTGAAAATTTCCAATATTTTCTCTTCTTGCTTTTTGAAATAAAGTTCATTCTTGTTAACTATAGTCACCCACCTGTATAATGGTGCACCAGAATTTCTTATTCCTAAGTAAAACCTGTAGCCTTCCATTTCTAACCCCTACACTTTCCAGCTTATGGTAATCAAAGTTCTAGTCTAAACTTCCAAACTTTTATGAGGTGAACTCTTTCAGATTTGACATATAGTGAGATTAGAAGACTTTTGTTCTTCTTTGCCCTTCTTCTATTTCATTTAGCCTAATGATCTTCAGGTCCATGCATGCTGCAGCAAATGGAAGGATTTCATTTCTTTTGTGTTTTTCTTTTTTTTTTCTTTTTCTTTTTGGCTAAAGTGTATTCTATTATGTAAATGTACTTTATTGTGTCCATTTATTAGTTGATGGACACTTAGATTGTTTCCCTTTCTTAGCTACTGTCTGTAGTGCTGCCATAAACCTGGGAGTATAGAGGTCTCTTCAACATCTTGACTTCATTTTATTTGGGATATATGCTCAGCAAAGGATTGCTGTACTTTATGGTTACTTGTGGGGGGGGATGCTCAATAATGTCTTTATATTTATTTATTTGTAAAGGATATTTGCTGTGTTTTGTATTTTTGATTGGCAGATTTTTCCTTCAATTCTATGAAAATCTCATGGCACTTACTTCTTGTCTACAGGTTTCCTGTTAGAAAATTCACTGTCAGGTGAATTAGGATACCCTTATGTGTTGTTTATTTCATTTTTCTTGATTCCTTTGGACTCTTTACCTTTCATCTTTGAGATCTGTATTATAATATGTAATAGCAAGAGCTCAAGGGTCCAGGTCAAATTTGGGTGCCAACTAAATTTTTACCCCCAAGGAGAGACTTCTCTCCATTGTGTGCTCCCTGGGGCTTTGGGAAGGAACAAGGAGGGTAGTCCTGTGGCCAAAAATGCTGCAAAGATATGTCACACACTAGGGCACAGCCTGACAAGGCAACACAGAACTGAGGAGGGACCAACGTCCTCAGTGTTATGAACTGCCTACTGCTGAGGTGGACTCATGGCCCAAGACTCCTGCAACCAGCCACAGGCTCTTCTTGAGTTGTCCCACCAGCATACAGGTCTTGCTCTCTCTATGAGGTCAGTCCCATATTTCAACCTCTAATTCCTACTGAGTGCTGAGTATCATCATGGTGGGCCTGGCATTGTGCTCTAAGACAAAAGCCTATTTCTGCTCTTGTGTCCTGCTCCTTAGCAACTGGATTCTTGATTTTCCTTCTGTCAAGACTGCTTGGAGGAGTGGTAGTGGAGGCAGTCTCTTTGCTGCCCAACTAAACACAGTTCCAGAAATTCAGTCTGAGGTTACTGGCATGGGGACAAGGATTGTTGGGCTCTACTGGGCACCTGCCTAGTTCTGAGTTTCAAGTCTAAGGCCTGGACTTAATTACCTTTCCATTCCCTAAGAAGAATGCATCTTTCTTCATGCTGGGCTGCTTAGATTTAGGGAATGTGTCTTTTCTTTATATTGTCATAAAAGCAGACACTCAAATGCTTTCTTTTCTTTTCATACACCTAAGTTATTTTCTCCTATCAAGTTATTTGGTTTGTGAAAATTGTTTTCGTGGGGTATTTGTGGGAGATCACTGAATAACCACCTTGATCTGAGTCCTAAACTACATAATCTTATACTGTAATAAATATGCATTAATATTTATTATTTCCAACATTGATATGACAGCACAGTGTTAAATACACCTCCCAATATGAGTTTATACAGAAATTTTTGGAAAAAAATGTAGAGAGAATCTACTATAATAGATATGAAAGGAGGAATTTGTGACTCACAGCGTTTCACTAACAATTCTCTGGCCCTTCCTACTAATAAACTAAGATTTTGATATTTGAATCTGGAAAGAAGTATTTCAACTTTGCATTAATCCATAAATTTCTTTGTGATATGTTTGATCCCGCTGCCCAAATACCTATTAACCTAGTGGAAAAATATATTTGACTCTACATATGCAAGCACTCAATTCAACTGAGAAAAGTTGGGACACTTTCTTGTCTGTCCTTTGAAAATTACTGCAAACAAAGTGTGTGTATCAATTTATATGTAATCCTAAAAGTAATAAATTACAGAAACAAAATTATGAAGACTGATTTTAAGCTGAAATACTCTACAAAAATATTTTGTTAACTAAGAAAGTTGAGAAGGAAAAGGAAAATATCAGAGGTTTATAGGACAGGAATAAATAAAGTGCATCATCCACTGCTATCCCTGAATCTGTGGATTCAGGAAAGGAACTCTCCTCTTAGTCCTCTCTGGCAATTCATTCTTTATTCCCCCAAGGACCAGACACTACTTCTTGGAACTTTCCATTCTCTTAGGTAGTGGAGAATGCACTGACCATACCTGAGCAGATGACTCCTGCATCTTCAGAGTGCCCACAGTTGTTCTTTCCCCAGCCCAGGGAAGGGCAATTCCACAAGTAGGCCTCCTCTCCTGTGCACGCCAGCTCTGTCAACCAGATGGGCCCCGATCCCTCTCCAAATTGTTCATAGAGCAAGGCATTGAAGGCCACTCCACAGCCCAGCTGTCTGCACACCACGTGGGCATCTTTCAGGTCCCAGCTGTCACCACAGACAGTGCCCAAGGAATGCTGGTGAATGATCTCCACTCTGCCTGCACAGCGACTACCACCATCCACCAGGCGGAGCTGTGGGCTCTCTGAGGAGAAAGAATCATGTCAATGGTTGTATTTACAAAGAGAATGAGAAAGTTCTTTTTTGTGGGCAGGGGAGTACCAGGGATTGAACTCAGGGGCAGTCAACCACTGAGCCATATCCTCAGCCCCATTTTATATTTTATTTAGAGACAGGGTCTCATTGAGTTACTTAGGGCCTATTTTGTTGAGGCTGACTTTGAACTCACAATCCTTGTGCTTCAACCTCCTGAGAAGCTGGGATTACAGATGTGTGCCACCGTGCTGGCTGATAAGTATTCTTTTGTCATGTGGTACTCCCTCCTCCAACCAAGCACTTGGCAGATCTATTTTCAGAACACAGTGCTTGCTGTGTAAGACACAGAATCATTCATTATACTAGGGCAGCAGGTAAGTCTCAGTTTCTACCATAATGTGAAAGAATTAATTGTGAAAAAATAAGAAATGGAATTAAACACAATGTAATAAAGTGAGTAGTCTCAGGTAGAAGTTATTATGTAGATCTGATCAGAGTAAAACTTGCTGTTGGTAGAGTTCTGCATATGATGTGACAAAACTATTTGAGAAATGCTGAGATTCCTAATTTTAGTAGCTGAAAGTGTCTTTTCTGAATGATTTCTAAGAATTAGTGTAGTGGGCCAGTATCTGCATTGGCTTCTTATAAATCACATATATATGAGGACTTATGGCCAGAGATTTGGAATGATGACAGTACAGGAGATGCAGTAGGAAATGGGGGTGAGATCATAAGAAGTCTCAGGTGACAGCTATGATTTCAGGGGAAAAATGTAATTATATAGGCATTAAAACTGAAAAATTAATGGGTCATAAGACAAACCATAGTTAACACAATATATTTCACTAATGATTCTAGGCTTCATAGTTCAAATATGGATATTTAAATTTAAATTTTTGTTCACTTTAGGTAGTTTGGGCAACCTTCCTGTATAGATGATGTCAGACATTGACATTGCCCAAATGCCACTATGAATCATAGAATGTTACTTTCCCCCAAATATATTTAATCTGTGCTTGGACTTCCTACCAGGAGTTCTTGATGAGAAGGCAAATAACAGAATAGAAGTACACTTTTTGTGGCTCTGTGAGTGACAAGAGTCAGGGAGCACAGGGGAAGCTCTGAGAAGAGAAAGGGGGAAAACACTGGGAACCATTAAAGAAATGACTAGAAGTGTTAATGATATGGCAGCCCAGAGAAAACTACAAAGCAATTAGCAACTTCAAATCCAGCTGTCTTACATGTGGAAGAAACACATGGTTCTTACAAGCTTTAGATCAAGTTTGGGGAGTTGTTTTGAGAGGGACTCCTTCAGTACAACAAGAGAGCTTTATAGGAGGAGTTCATCTCATTACTCACCAAGTTCTCAGAGTGCTATTACTGGGAGCCATCTTGAGAAGGATCCTATTATATGGGCTAAACTGTGTTAGGATTACAAAATATGAATTAATCATAATTCAAGGTCCCTGAGTCACCCCTCCACAGTGACAGGGTGGAGGTAGTGAGCATCTATAGTCTCAGGAAGACTGACTTCCACAAACATGCTCAGATAGCAGCAGAGTACGCACTAGAGGCCTCACTGATACATGCATCTTTTCTATGTGAAAAGGAGTATTCCAGGTCTGAGAGCTGAGACAACATCTGGTGATTCACCCCATTCCTGTGCCCCATCTCCAGGGTGGAGCTGAGAGGTTTGATGTTTACACCACTTTTCACAGGCATTCCAGGGCTTCACTATGGCTAGGACACTTGGTATGCCCTCATAGGAATGACGTCTCTGGAGCAGAGTTTTTCTACAAGTTGTTTCCAGAGACACTGAAGGCAGGGCTTGTGGTGACTTTGACAGTTGCTATGCCCACACTATTTGAAACAGAACCCTTCAGCGTGATGATGGCCTATCACATCAATATTCCTTAACCTCCATAGTAGAAATTGAGGAGCACAATGCAGGCAGCATATCATACCTAGCTCCTTTTGATGGGAATTGAAAGGAACTAGAATTAATTTTTTTTAGCCCAGTTTATCCCATATACCGGATGGATTCAAATGTTAAATGACCATAAAAGAGATTTCTGCATGTAAGTATTTTGTGTAGGATGAATTTTTGACATATTTTTTTCAATATACACATTATTATATTTTCCTTAATACTATGTATTTAATGCATTTTAAAATTCTTTAAATGGATTTTTCTCTTTTCTTCTTTTTCATCTTTTCTTTATATAAAATAGTTTTCTTCTTATTTTTTTATTCTCCTTCTTTTTATAGTTTCTTCTGCAATCTTCCTTTTTGAATTAATTTTCCTTTTATTAATTTAGTTTCTTGTTCATTCTACATTTATTCTTTCCCTTATCTATTGTTACTGCTTTCATAGTTGTTATTGAGTTTATTTGATTATTACTGTATTTATATAGCTGACTTATGTTTAAGTGGTTGGTACTCCTTTATTCATTTTCTTCTTTCTGAGTCATGATGGTGATTAAGCCAAGAACCTCAAACATGTTGGGTGTGCTTTGCCACTGAGCTACACCTCCAGCCACTAGAGTGAGGTAGTACCTTATTGTAACCATGACCTAGCCCTGCTCAAGCCTTGGTGGATGTTATGGTTTGGATGTGAGGTGTTCCCCAAAAGCTCTGGATGAGACAATGAAAGAAGTTTTAGAGGATAAATGATTGGGTTATGGGACTCTTAACCCAATTATTGAGTTAATCTCCCAATGGGAGTAACTGAGTGGTAATAATATTCTTGTCTTTCACTGACAGAAGAGACCAGGGAGTTGAGTGTACTTGGAGGGTGAGGATTATAATGGGTCCTCATGTTGTCTAATCAGGGTAAGAAGAACATGTGCCATCATGGGGTGGAAATCTGAAAAACTGATAAGGGAAAGCATTTGGAATCTGCATGAGGATGAAATATATGGAAAAGGATCATGAAGAATATGTGCATAGGGAGAAGAGGCAATAGAGAAGGAAAATGCAATCAAGATCTCAAGATGTACAGTTAGTGGTGGTCAATAGTATGGTCATACAGGGAGATGGGGTATGAAGGAGTAAGAGAAATTCAGGAATGGAGAGGCCAGGATGTTTTTTCAGTTGTGTTCAATGATGCTGGCAGCACCAGGAACAGGAGAAAGAGGAACCTGGTGAGCCTGGTGTAGCAGCCTTCTTGGATGATGGGAGTGTGCAGACTGGATAGTGACACCAACGGAACTAGTAGCTGGTGCCACCTCATGGGGTAAATTTCAAGTAGCTGAACATAAAGAAAAAGAAAATAATTGTTTAAATTTTCTGGTGGAGCATTTTGGGACTTCTAGTGGCACAATTCACAATAGCTAAACTGTGGTGCCAACCTAGATGCCCTTCAGTAGATGAGTGAATAAAAAATATGTGGCATATATTCACAATGAAATTTTACTCAGCAATAAAAGAGAACAAAATCATGGCATTTTCAGGTAAATGGATGGCATTGGAGAAGATGATGCTAAGTGAAGTTAGTCAATCCCCAAAAAAACAAATTCTGAATATTTTATCTGATATAAGGAGGCTGACTCATAGTGGGGTAGGGAGGGGAACATAGGAGGAATAGATGAATTCTAGATAGGACAGTGGGAGGGAAAGAGAAGGGGAAAGGGATTATCAAGGATGGTGGAATGTGATAGACATCATCATCCAACGTACACATATGAAGTCATGAATTGATGTCAACATATTTTATATACAGAGATATGAAAAATTGTGCTCTATATGTATAATAAGAATTGTAATGCATTCCACTGTCAGTTATTTTTTAAAAAAGGTCAATCAAAAAACTGTTAAAAAAGAATTGTTTAAAATGACAAAAAAGCAGGAATAATTTTATTCTAATATTTGGCTCAGAAATATCCTGTTGAAAAGGGATCATGGAACCTCTAAATGATAAGGACATCATTGTTTTCAGAAGACAGCCAGGTTTTTATTAAAACACAAAACTGAAGTGGATGTTGTAGGTTTTAATTAGTTAGAAGATGATAGCCTCCAATTTGAAACAGGCACCATGGAATGTTTTCTGGGAGAGGGATGAAGTGGGCAAGTTAGTTTTCAATAGCGTATGGAAAAAGCTCATAGGAGAGAGTATCAACTAAGACCACTAGGACTGTGAGGAGATCAATTCAAGAAGAAAATAAAGCAAGACCAAGCTCCTCATTTCATAGCACTTCCACATGATGTAGCAGATAAAATGACTAGCAAATACCTTTCAACAGAATTGCTACTGGGGCCATGGCTTGGCGAGGCCTCTAGCTCTTCTCACCCATCCAGGTAATCAGGTATCACTCTCCCCACACTCTTCCTACTCTGCTTATGATAAAATTTATCATTCCCTTAAGGCCACCATGCTCCTACCACCTCAGTAGTTACACTGACAAAATGCTCTATGTTCTTGTGCATTGGACCTTATTTAGGTCTTCTTATTTAGATCTCAAGTTAAATATGATTGCTGTCTTCCTCAGTGAACATATTTGCTCAGCACCTTCCATGCCTTCATGACACTCAAATTTATGTGTGGTTGTGTAGTCATGCTAGAATGCAAACTCCATGAGAGCATGCACAATATTTTTTTCTTGTGTATCTCTTCCTGCCTGGAATTAAGTTTTTACCTACAAATCCCTCAAATACTTATCATCAACAAACTAATCTGTAGTGGATTCCAGAGTAAACAGCCCATTGTATTGGATTCCTCAAGTTGTCACTCACTCAATTGAAATTGTGAGGAAGATGAAGTGTTTACTCTAAACCTCAATTTCCTCATCAGAAATAAATGATCACCATGATACCTATCAAGAGTTGATTGTGTTGGTGGGAACAAATTGATAGCACTTAGCAAGTAATGTGTATTACTGATGTCTAATAATTTGCCCTCTCACTAAGGAAATACAGATTAATTACTATAATCTGAGACTGCATTAGCTAATTGCTAAGAATGTCCATCAGAGTGTAATTTCATGCTCCCATTTACTCTGTTCAGTCTCTTGGTACTTTTCATATAAATTGCTATCATAGCAGGTTTCCTTGCATCTGCCTTTCAAACAGAATTTAAATAAGTGGATCAAGTAATCTCTATCCAGTATTCATTCTGTAGATTTAGTTCAACTCATTCATTCTGTTTGCATATATGAACCTTTCCTGACAACAACCTACAGGCATAGGACAAACACATAGAAATAGACAGCAGGTTACCTGTACATGTGATATGAGCTTCCTCCTTTGCAGAGCAAGATTGGTGTTTCCAGGGGTCAGAAGGACACTGCCAGAGAGAGGTATCAGTTTCCCGACAGCGGATTCCATCCACCCAGCGAGGTCTAGAACCTTCCCTAGAAGGAATCAAGAAATCTAGTGTCCCAGTTTCCCCACAGCCAAGCTGACTGCAGATCATGGACAAAGTCATGGGTTCCATGGGGCTGTGGCAGACACTGCCCCAGGTGTTGTTGTAGAAAACCTCCAGCCACCCAGCACATTTTTGGTTGTGGCTCACCAGCCTGAGGGCCAAGAACTCTGAAATAGAAAGAAAGGGGGACATCAGGACTAAGTGAGCACTGAACTCCTACTGCTGTTTTTCCTTTATTCCTAAGTAATGAGTGCTTATTGCTGACTCTGCTGAGGAAGTGCCTACTAGGTGAAGGAATGGAAGTTTTGACCCTTTAACCTGTTTTGCTAATTTTTACTTCAATTTCTGTTTTTACACAAATGTAATATTAGCAAATCAATAGATAGAAACATTGACCTGGGGGCTCTGCAGTAAATAAACTCTTCATCTACTCTCTGACTAACCAATTGACATACCCTAGAAAAGGATGGCTGACATAGGTGTGGCACAATAGGGAAGCTCCAAATATGCTCACTCCCTGACCCTGGGAGCCTGTGAATATTTTACCCATTGCAAAAGGGCTTTGCAGACATATTTAAGAAGAGAATCTTTTCGTGGATTATCCTGTATCATCCTGGATTCATAGGTGAGCACAATCTATTCATATTCTTAGACCTGTGTCCCCAAAAGCAGATAATTCTTTCTAGCCCTCATCAGAGGAAGATGGTTCATGGAATGATGTTCAGAGAATTGCACTGCTGTTGGTTTGAAGAAGGAAGGGGCCATAAGACAAGGAATTCAGGCAATGTCTAAAAGCTCCAAAAGGAAGGAAATGAATCTTCCTAAGGCTTTAGCTGTTGCATCCTGCTCACACCTTATTTATAGCCCAGACAGACCCAGGTCAGGATTCTAACCTACACATTGTAAGATGATAAATTTGTGTTTTTTTGAGTCACTCAATCTATGGTAACTTGTTACAGCAGAAATAGAAAACTAATTCAGTGGGTCAAGATGTACCCGCAGGTCACAGAAGAGTGATGACTGCTTTAAATGGACACTGTGGAAAATGACTCTGTCAGGTGACAGTGCTGAGAAGGAAGGAGCAGAAGCTCAGCTGCTCCAGCAGGAAATGGAAGGACCTCTTCTTCTCCTCTGCTGAAATAACAGGAATTGTAAGAGGAGCTTCCTCCTCCCCTGCCCTGTCAATTTCTGCCCAATCTCTCCCCCATGGCTCAGCCACCACCCTGCAGACCTTTCCCTGCCCTCCCGTACCTGTGCACAGTGTGCACCACAGACCTGAGCAGATGACCCCTACGTCCTTTTTGTGACTGCAGTTGTGCTGTCCCCAGCCCTGGGAAGGGCACTGCCACACATAGGCCTCCTCTCCTGTGCAGTTCAGGTCGTCCAACCAGATGGGCCCTGATCCCTCTCCAAAGTGAGCAGAGATGGTGGTCTCCAGGGCCACTCCACAGCCCAGCTGTCTGCACACCACATGGGCATCATTCAGGTCCCAGCTGTCATCACAGATGGAGCCCCAGGAGCCCTGCTGCAGGATTTCCACTCTCCCTGCGCAGTGACTGCCCCCATCCACCAGGTGGAGCTGTTTATTGTCTGAGGAGAAATGGGGTCATGTCACTGGGCATTTACACAGGGAATGAGAAAGCTCTTGTTCTGGGGTCCTTGCTCACCTAAGCAATTGGCAGTGTGGCCCTCTGAGGCTTCAGAATCTGCTGGGTCAGACCAGAAATCGTTGCACTGGGGCAGCAGCTGGGTCTGGTTTCCTACCAAATGAGTGAGAGAAAAGGAACCTGAATTAAACAACATAATAATCTAGTGATGGCATCTGAGATGAAAGCTGTTGCAAAGGAGCATTCATTTTCGATCTTCAGAGCTGATCTTCTATCGAGATTTCTGCTTTTTGTTCTGCCAGACTTTTTTTATTAGTTGTTCAAAACATTACATAGCTCTTGACATATCATATTTCATACATTTGATTCAAATGGGTTATGAACTCCCATTTTTCCCCAGTGTACAGATTGCAGAATCACATCGGTTACACATCTACGTTTTTACATACTGCCATACTAGTGTCTGTTGTATTCTGCTGTCTTTCCTATCCTCTACTGTTATGCTCAAATTCGGGACCCCCAAAAGACCACCAGAGACCCAAGATCGATGTAAGCAGCAAAGAGGTGTTTATTGCGAGCTAGCTCGGTCCTCCGCACACACACACAGCAACAGGTGACGCTAAGAGGCCCGGAGCCCAGGTTTTGCAGCAGTTTTATACATTCTTTGGAGAAGGCAGGGACCCCCACATACATCATAGCATCTCCTAGCAAATCATCACACACCGCGGGAAAATCAAATAACAATTCTAAAACATGATTAGCACATTCACTGGTGGGAACAAGTTGGGTAGGAGGGATTGGTCCCTACAAGAGGGGGATTCATTTAAACTGATTGGTTTAAACTGTTAGGATGTCGCAAAGGGAGTACGTGCCAAACTGCAGGGCTTCTAGTTTAGATACTGGTCACCACACCTAGGTGGAAGCCATCTGGAATTTCAGATATGTGGTTATCTTGGCCTATCTGCGGCTTTTCTGGCTTTTCCGAGAACTGAAATGTTTCCACAGAGTTTTTCTGTAGATTTTTTCTTGACTTTAGGATTACAATAAGTCAGAGGTTAAGTTTCAGAGCAAAATAAGATCCCAAGCAGAATGAAATTGCTTAGGTCTTTCACTACTGTCCCCCCTTCCCTCCCATCCCCTCCCATCTTCTCTCTCTACCCCATCTACTGTATTTCATTTCTCTCCCTTGTTTTTTTTCCCCCTTTCCCTTCACCTCCTCTTATATGTAATTTTGTATAACGATGAGGGTCTCCTTCCATTTCCATGCAATTTCCCTTCTCTCTCCCTTTCTTGATTTAAGCACACACCAGGAATGAGTTTAGGAAAGTGGAATATATTAGTGCATATTTGGCAGCAAGACTTTTAGAGTCAAATTTAGAGAAAAGTGAAAACTAGAATCAGGTATTTTCCCCTTTAGCCATTTTTCATTCAAAGTTAGTAGGTGAGATTCTGAAAATATCAGCATGTTTGCCTCATTTCCCTGGGAATACACATGTGTAATTTAGTTTGGACCAAAGAGGTGAAATTCTGTTGAACATCCAGAAATCTTGCATCTTATTCTGTGAACTGAAAGTAGAGGGGATTTTTTGTTTGTTTGTTTTTGTTTTTTGTTTTTTCAGATGATGCCCATTTCTAAACACTTCAACAACTTTTACTTAAGATCATCTACCCTAATTAGACTGCACAGAAGAGGCAAAATACCTTTCTGAAGGTTTCATATGATGTGCATCTTGGCAGAGAAATGATTAACAAAAATCCAATAAATATTTTAGAGTCATGTGTTATTTTCAAAAGTCAGAAGATAAAAATAAGAACTAGTGGATGAGTATAACAATAGTGTAGATGCTCTTCAAAATAGAAATAGTAAATGGAAGAACATGGGAAAATACAGAGTGAAGCATAGAAATACAACAGAATAAGAAATATAATAGGGAATTAAGAGAGATGGTGAGATAACCTAACATTCTTAATACTCTACAAGTTTTAGGGCCACAATTTTTTAAATAAATTATGACTCTTTTTAGTCATATGTGACATAAGAATCCATTTTTAAACAATCATACAAACATGGAATATATCTTATTCTAGTTAGAGTTACATTCTTATTGATGTACATGATGGTGGGATTCACTGTGATGCATGCACATGCATACACATGGGAAAACTATGTCAGATTCTTTCCACTGTCCTTCCCCTATCCCTCTCCCTTCCCTATATAGCCCATTTTCTAATCTACTGGATTTATGTTCTTCCCTTCACTGCCCACTCTTCTTATTGTAGGTTAGCTTTCACGTATCATAGAAAACATTTGACCTTTGGTTTGATAGTGCTGAAGTAAAAATAGAAAATACATAGAGTAGGATATTTAATACACATATAAAAATATCCACAAAATCTTTCACACTCTATCCATTCCTCCTTCCCTCCAATCTGGCTGTCAGTGGTGAGTTGTCTATAAGCAATAGAATATGGGGAAGTCTACACCGCTTTACTTAGAAATCTAGCTTATAATGTCAGGCCTTCTCCTCTTGACTTAGTAGGATGTTTGCTTAATGGGAAATCTATTCTGTAGAGACAATCATGTGGGAGAGAACATTTGCAAGTGGTTCTATCAGCAACTCCAGGTGAACTTCAAGCTATCAGCCATGTGAATGAGCTTTCCTGACTTCCCAGCTTCGTCAAGTCTTCAATGACCTCAGCTGCAGATGAGATCCAAGTGCAACCTCAAGAGAGACCACAAGAGGCAACTGCCAAGAGCCCTTGCCAAATTTATTAATCTACAAATCATGAGAAAATGAAATATAATTTTAATTTGAATTGTTATTTTTTGGGGAAATGTATTATGCAGAGATAGCCACCAAGATTACATTTACTATGAAACACAGGAATCTTACATCCCCATGTTCGTTGTGGCACTATTTACAATAGCTATGGTATGGAATCACTCCAAGTGTTCACTGAAAGAAAAATTTATGAAGTATAGATGATATATATACAGCCATAAAGAAGAATGAAATCCTGTCATTTGCATCAAAACAGATGGAACTGGAAAACATTGTGTTTAGTTAATAAACTTCATAGAGAAAGACAAGTACCCAAGTCCTCTATCATATGTGGAAGCAAAAAGGAGTCCACTGGAAAATAGAGAGGAGATTGCTACAGGGTAGGTAATATTTATATCACTAGATATGTCCAATGTGGTCTAAAAATTCTTGTGCATGAACTTAAGAAATACATGTTTTGTGATTCATTTTTCTAACATAAATAGTTTAAATTTCTACTTTAGAAAAAAGTCAAAGCTAATTTTCATTTGTAACAAACTCAAACATTGATTTACAAATTCTCTTATTACTTACTTATTTTTGCTTATTGTCATAGCTCAAGAAGAGAACTTTTCATATAATTATTGGCTTGTATTCTTCAAAAATATCATTACCATGGCACACCAAGAAAATTTAAAGAGTTTCATACTAAGAAAGATAACTAAACATGAGAACTGAATGCAGCATATTGCCATACTTTTTTTTAATGTGAATAACTTATTTAGGAATTTAAGTAAAATTCTGAACAAGACTAATACACTATATGATTATATTATAGCAAGATGGATTTATGGAATTGGCAACAATGCTGTGGTTACATATGAAATCCTTGAAAACATTTTAGGAGTAATAGGACAGATTACATTATCCACCTACTCACCTACTCTTAACTACTCATTCAGAAAGATTTGATAAATTTATGCATAAATGGAGAAGAAGGATGGAATATAGTAAAATAGTGGCATTTGGAAATAAGGTCAGGATTACTTGGAAATTTTATACTATCTTTGAAACTTTTTCAGAATTATCAAATTAACAAAAATAAATAAAATGAAAGAAATAAAAAAGAAAAACCAACTTCCCAAGCACATACTAGAAATAAAGGTGAAAACAATTTGAAGACATTCCTAGGATATTTCACCAAAAGAAACATTAATGGCATTGAATATATCTATAAGTAAACATCATAAAAACTATGTATATTCTCTGAGAGAAATTTGATATACTTTGGAAGTCAAGTATCTCCATATTCACGTGTAATCCAAATCCAATGTCAACCGAAATACCATCATGCTTTTATTCATATTATATATATTTAAAGTTGTTTCTAAAATTTATGTGAAATGCATATGACCAAGTATGACTAATGAATTAGGCAAGAGAAGCTACAAAATTAGACTGTAAGAATACACAAACAATAGAATTGAATGGAACAGAGTATAGAATGAGTAGGAAAATCTGCACTGTTTATCTCAAAGGTGACCTTGTGGAGAGGAAAAGCTCTTTCAGTAATATATGCTGAGTCAACTTATTGTCTAGATAATAATGTGAAACTTTTCTTCACATCATACACATCCATACAATATTAATCCCAGATACTGCACAATTATATGCAAAAGAAAAATAATTAAGCACATATAAGACAACCTGTGAGAATATGTTTATGATCTCATGGTGTAAATGTTGTGTTTAGTGTACAAAAATGTTGATAAGCTGTGCTTCATTAAGAACATTTGACACCTTAAAGACTACCATATTAAGAGAGTGAAAGTAAAAGCTCAAGGGTTACAAACCTGATACAAATACATACATATTTGTACCACAAGCTATTGTCATGTTAATATGTACAATCATTATTTGGGAAGTCAACAAGCATCAAATCTTTTTTTTTTTAAAGAGAGAGAGAGAGAGAGAGAGAGAGAGAGAGAGAGTTTTATTAATATTTATTTTTCAGTTTTCAGCAAACACAACATCTTTGTTTGTATGTGGTGCTGAGGATCGAACCCGGGCCGCACGCACGCCAGGCGAGCGCGCTACTGCTTGAGCCACATCCCCAGCCCAAGCATCAAATCTTAATGTTAGTTGACTCTATCAATACAAGGTCATGTGGTCATTCAGCAGAAAACTCAACAGCAAAATAATAATGATGATGATAATAATAATAATAATAATAATAATAATAATAATAATAATAATAATAATAAATGAAGTTCTGCTACAAATAGTAAAATGGGCGAATTCTAAACACAATGTGGAGTCAAAGTAGACATAACAAGATAAGATACTGAATGATTTTACATAAAAGTCAAAAGCTGACAAAATTTTCTTTGGCAGCAAACATTAGAGTGGTCTTCTTTGGAGGAGAGCAGGACACAGTGACTGGAGGGATGTGCAGGTGACTTCTGGGAGCCACTGAAGCTCTCTGATAGTCCAGGGTGAGGAACTTGACAAAGCTTTCATTCATTGCTACACATTGTTCTCTATGAATTTCAATAAATAATAATGTTTACTTAAAAACTACTACTCTTTATATCCCTTGAGAGGGCTGGAAAGATGAATAATCATTGAGAAGAATCACAGGACCCCACAGAATTTTTTAAAACAATTTTCCGCTTAATATCACTTTTCTGTTTCATGATTGGATCATGATCCCATGTCACATTCAATTAAAAAATTTTTAGTTGTTGATGAACTTTTATTTTTATTTATATGTGGTGCTAATGATGGACCCCAGTTCCTCGCACATGCTAGACAAGCATTCTACCACTTAGCCAGAACCCTAGCCCAGAACGTCTCATTTTTGAAGTCCCCTCTCCATGCTATCTGATCTTAGAGCCATGTCACTCAAGTACCAGTCAGCACTGACCTCTCTTACCTGAGCAGACCACAGAGGCTGTGTTTCCATGGGCACAGGCAGGAACACCCAGGGCAGTCACAGGGCAATTCCACAAGAAGGACTCAGACCCTGAGCAGTGGAATCGGTCTCTCCAGATCTCATCTCCTCCTTCCACAGAGTATGCTCCTTTTGGGGTGGAGATGGCGACTCCACAGCCCAGCTGACGGCAAACTACATTGGCATTGGCCATATTCCAGTGGGAGGCACAGAGTGTTCTCCAGCCTCCAGAGGTCTTCATCTCCACTTGACCCTCACACTGAGAGCTGCCATTTTTCATGAGCCTGACTTCTGTGTATCCTGGTAGAAGATAGAGTTTTAGTTTGTTGTTGTTGTTTTAGCAACAACACACATTTTTCTTACCCCTGCAGAGTGTACAGGGCAGTTAATAACCTGCTGTGAGTCTTACCTGAGCAGACAACTTGCACATCCCCTCTGTGGGGGCAGCTGCCTCCAGGACAGGGCACTCTGGGGCAGAACCAGAGGCCAGGCTCCTGCCCCTCACACTGGAACTCTTCAGCCCAGACCCGTTCACTATCCTCTCTGAAGGGCAGGTTCCTTAGGACAGATGCAGCCTTGCCACAACCTAGCTCTGCACAGATGACCTGGGCTGTGGGTAATGTGAAATTCCCATCAGATACTGGACTCCATTCTTCTCCAGAATTCACTTCCACTCGCCCAGAGCAGGGTCCACCTCCTCCATTCAAATGCACAAATCCTTTGGAAGAAATTAACTAACAAAATTAATATCTTGGCTTGGAATTGGTAGCTACATGTAACAGGCATGCTTGAGAGCTTTTCTTTTCCCAAGGTGTGGGGAATGGATTAAAGATTTGGTATCAGAATGGGAATTCCTTGAGCAAGCATGTGAAGACAAATTTAGGATGAATTATAAAGGTCAATTCTGAATTATTGACTCAAAAAATGAATATGTATTTATATAACTATTTCTCTGTGTGTGTGGTGTGTAATATACTTTTTCCTTATATATAAATATATTATTCTTTGTATTAAAAAGATACCTGGGGGCTGGGGATGTGGCTCAAGCGGTAGCATGCTCGCCTGGCGTGCGCGGGGCACTGGGTTCAATCCTCAGCACCACATAAAAAAATAAAATAAAGATGTTGTGTCCACTGAAAACTAAAAAATAAATATTAAAAAACTCTCTCTCTCTCTCTCTCTCTCTCTCTCTCTCTCTCTCTCTCTCTCTCATTCTCTCTCTCTCTCTCGGAAAAAAAAGATACCTGTGTGTTTTTCTGTATATCTGTCTCTGTCAGTCTACCTCCTTTTTTAATGGGAGCTATAATTAACTATCCTCTGAATATGAACTGCAGTAGAAAAATACTAGGCTTCATTTTCACAATTTTATCCTCAAATACTTTTAGTTCACTGAAAAAAAATCCATCTAAGTAAAAATTTGTTAATGAAATAAAAATTCCATATGTCAAAAACTGACAATTTATATTTATTTCCCATTTAGGGATGAGGAAAGAGTCCACTAAATAGTATGAGAATGAGATAAAACCAGGTTATTTAGACTAACATAATCTGGGTTCTTTACATCATACTTCCTGTTACAGAAAACAGAATGGTAATATAGAAGTATGATAGTATGATCATAAGTTTAAAAGAAAATTATCAGAGATTTGAGCATTTTTGCCTTTTTCTTTTATTTCATTTTGAGAAATTATTTTGTTATTAATAATTTGAGTTGGAAAAATACATTATATATCTATCTAAACTAATCAGGAAGGGATTTGAAGAATGAGTTCAGACTTTGGGTAGATGTCTGGCTATAGGTAAGAAAAAGCAATATAATAGTAATTTTATGTCCTGAAGAAGTTCAGCAGGGAATCCTTGCTGAAGAGAATAACATGATCAGTGATTATTTTTCCAAAGTAAGCCTTCAAAATGGAATGAATATCAAAAGCATTAATCAAGTTTATTAAAAAATTTTACTTAAAGTATTATAATTAGAATGCTCTCATTTCTGTCTGAAATTGGTATATTAACATCAAGTGTGGATTTGTGACCTTGTGACTACAAGATCACTTTAATTTGTATTATTATTACAGAGGAGTGAGGACAATGTATCTTACTTAGAATGTCACAATGAAAATACAAAATTTCAAACTGAAGTCACTAATCTTTAAGATGTTATGCTTTAAAGAGAATGAGACTTACAGTATATCATAACAATCAGCTATCAATATTGTTGTCCAGTGACAGGAACAATAAAAATCAATCTCCAGAACAGAAACCATCACTATACACTCTACCTGTGGATGCATCCAGTTTTTTTCCTCTGTGGATACTGGTTTCTGCACAGTTACATTTCCACCCTATGGGTTAACACCACCAACCACCATCACCACCATGAGTTGCACATGATCAATTATATTTTTGGCTCAATTAGATACACAAATTTGCAGAAGCACTACTTCTTTTTTCATTTTCTTGTTTTTTTCATTGTATATGGTATATTTCTAGCTCCTACGGTATAGAATATCTCAATTGAGTTAGAATAGTATTACTTCCAAGTTCTGTCTGAGAGAATTCAGTGGAATATCTGATTGCTTTCTCTAACAGTTGAAATTCTATGTGAGTATCAAACCTTTACATAGAACTTTCATATAATCCCCACTAATGAAAACTGGAAGCATGTCAGATACAGAAATAGATCATCCAATGCATGTTTCACCTTTACTTTTCTACTCTTCACAAATCTAATCCAATTGGAGCCTGAGAAGGTGAAGAGTAAAATTCATACAGTACACATACTCAAATCATCAACTGAGCATCTGTCATTGTGTTGAAAAGAGACCCTGATGTGTTCATAGAGCAGTACTGTTGCAAAATCAACAATATTTTTATTCAACTTTTAAACTATATTAATTATTTGTTATTTTCTAGGCATTTAAAATAAAATAATATAAATCCAGAAAATGGGAACCTTTTTTTCCAAAAATACTTGATTTAGAAATTAAAATCAGATACCATCTACACACAAATGATCTCAACTTGTTTTTCTCAGGGGTTCAATTACTCTGTTGTATTTAATGAAATATAAATAGAATAGTCAATGGGTGATTCAGCTGCAGGAATACGTTGTTCTATAAATGCAGATCCCCTGATTCCAGAGGTGGCTACAGTTCTTCAGCTAACTAACTAGGCATTTCTTACATCATAGTGGTCTAGAAATCCTCTTTAGTTCTATTTGCAAAATACATATTAGTTTTGGTAATATGTCAGTGGTATAAAGAGATTTGGAGACAAAAAGTGATTTCCCTTCCTTATCTGCTTTACCAGATGGTTGAGGTAAATGGTACCACCACTTTATTGTCTACCCTTATTTACACCTGTCTGGCTTATACAAAATATATTCTCAAATAAAACTAATGTGCACAGGGTATGGTGGCACACGCCTGTAATTCCAGTGGCTCAGGAGATCGAGGCAGGAGGATTGTGAGTTCAAAGCCAGCTTCAGCAATAGTGAGATGCTAAGCAACTCAGTGAGACCCTGTCTCTGGGATGTAGCTCAGTGTTTAAGCACCTCTGAGTTCAATCTCCAGTATGCAAAAAACAAAAACAAAACAAGAGAAAAAACTGAGGTGCCATATTGAACCTATTACTCAGTCTGAACAACCTACAGTTGCCAAATCCAAGAGGTCTGAATGTTGAGGTTGGTTCATCTGGGCCACTAGTATATGGACACATAATTATGAATTATTTATTCAGAGTAGAACTTCTTCTTGAATCATGAGAAAAAATGTATGAAGGCTTGGACATTATCAAGAGGTCTAAATTGATAGAGTTTACCCAGAATCATCATTTTTCAAGTCTCTTGAAAGAATTGGCATGCATTTCTCCCTCTGAGTTTAAAACAGCATTTATATTGGAAGCAGCTTCTTTGAGTTTTGAGGCATAATATGAAGAAAGCCTATTGCCTGAGGATTTTTTGAAACATAAAAATTAAACATAATATTCAATGTTGGGTCCATAAGTCTCATTTCTGTATCCACTTGATTCCTCGTCCATCACTCCACAATTCTTTTATTCTGTTTAGGGCACAGAACTATGTCACCTGAGTACATGGGAATGTCTCCATCAGTCATTGTATTTGGCCAGGTAGTGACCCATAAAGGTCAAGGTCTTCCTCAAAGACCAAACTTTCCCTGTATCATTGGGCTTGAAGCCAGAGGTGGCAGTTTGAACTGTCCATCAAGGCACAGCAGGGTACAAGGAGAGTTATCAATGGAGGCCCAGTATGGTTAAAAATGCCTCTGACTGGGAAAGGATAAAAATGTGGCAGAGAGGTCTTTAAACTTTCTGCCCAGTCCTCATGTAGGAAAACAGGTATATAAAGGCAATTTGAGAGTCTCCTTCCATGTTTTCTTATTCAAATCACATACCAAAACTTGCCATGTTCTAGAAGTAGGTGAGGGTTTTTGTTGTTGTTATTGTTCTGGATATGTATATTTCAAGGAAATAATATTCTTTGTGGAGCTTCACATCTAGTGAGGACAAAAATAGTTTCAAGCCATTGGAAAAATTTATGAGAACTGAGTGGGAAAAGAAAGAAAAATTCCATGTGCAGAAGTGTATTGAATCCCATGAATCATTCTCACTGGAGGAAATTAAAAATTGTATTCAGATATATCCTCCACTAATCTCTTGCTACAGACACGTTGCTTCCTTGGGAATGTTTCAAGTTTCTTAAAAATTTGTCATCCATAGAAATTTTTATTCCCCTATTCTGACCTTTATGCCACAACTTTGAGTCACATTTATAAATCCTTCATCTTCTTTTTTACAGCTAAGGTTTACAGGAGTCACACAAATGTAAATAGATTTCCCACCTTACACCCAGGGTCTTAAGTGCTGCCCCGATAATTCTTATGTGCTCTTTGTCACCCCTCTGTTGCCATCCACCAGTACTGTAAGCTTCCTCTATCTTCTTCAAAAATTCAATATGTCTCCTTGTTCCTATTGTTATCAAATTTACCTCCAATGCACTTTTCTTGTATCATTGAATCCATCAGATATAAACTATATAATCTTTCCCTATATCTTGTCATTTTCCTTCTCTTTTTTTCCTTAAATTTATTTAAACTGATATCTAAAAACAAAAATAGTATACATTTTAATGGTGTGCTGGTGTATGTATACATTGTGTTATCTTTGTGTCCTCAAACACTTTCTTTCTTTTTGGTGAAAACTTCCCATATGCTTTCTTATAGCTCTTTGAAAACACAGTTCATTCTTGTTTTCTATAGTCACCTTACTGTGCAATGGTGCACCATAACTCCTTGCTCCTATTTAAGCAAAACCTCTCATTCACTAATCAGTCTGTAGCCTTCCATTTCCATCCCCTACACTCTCCAGCCTATAGTAATCACAATTCCAGTCTTAAATTTGATATGGTCAACTCTTTCAGATTTGACATATAGTGAGATTTTTGACCCTTGTCTTTCTTTGCCTGACTTATTTCACTTAACCTAATGATCTCCATGTCAATGCTTGCTGTAGTAAATGAAAGGTTTCATTTTTTCCCAAAGAGTATCATTGTGTAAATTTAATTCAATAAATCCATTTATCTGTTGATGGACACCGAGATTAATTCCATTTTTTAGCTACTGTCAGTAGTACTGCTGTAAGCATGGTAGTACATATGTGTCTCCAACATCTTGATTTTATTTCCTTTGGATATGAACTCAGCTGCGGATTAGTATATCATATGACAATTTTTTGATGGGGTGTCTGATGATGTCTTTGTATTTCCTTTGTTTGTAAAAGATAGTTTGGCTGTATTTTGTATTTTTGATTGGCAAATATTTCTTTTAGCTCTATGAATATCTCATGGCACTCACTTCTGGCCTATATGTTTATTATGGAGAAGCCTGCCATCAGGTGAATTAGGCCACCCCTATGTGTTGTTTGTTTCATTTCTTTTGATTGCTTGAGACTCTTTATCTTTCTTCTTTAGGAGCTGTATTATAATTGTAAAGAGCCCAAAGGTCCAGGTCAAATTTGGGTGCCCAACTAAGTTTTCACCCCTCAGAAGAGACGTATCTCTTTACTCTCTCCATAGTGTGCTGTCTGGAGTTTTGGGGAGGAATGAAGAGGGTGGTCCTGTGGCCACCAATGCTGCCATGCTATTTCACAACCTGAGGAAACAGCGGTCTAGGACAACACAGAACTGGGAAGGCACCAAGGCCTTCCTACTGCCTTCCAGCTGCCTATTAATAAGATGAACTAAAGTTTCAAGACTCCTGCAATCAGCCACAGGTGATAATAGGTTCTTCTTGAGTCTGTCCCACCAGCACATGGGTCTTGCTCTCCCTATGAGCTCTGTCCTAAATTTGAGGTCTCTAATTCCTACAGAGTGCTAAGTATCACCATGGTGGGCCTGGCACTGAGCCCCAAGACAAAGTCCTGTGCCAGCCCTGTGCCCTGCTCCTTAGCAAGCAGAGTCTTGCTTCCCCCTCGGCCAAGGCAAATTGGAGGAGTGGTGGTGGAAACAGTCTCTTTGCTGCTGACTAAACACAGTTCTAGGTTCTCAGTCTGAGGGCACTGGCATAGCAACCAATGTTGTCAGACTCTACAGGGCACCAGGTTTCATTCTGGCAGGCCTTGTCCTGGGTTTTAAGTTCAAGGCCTGAGTTTAATTTCCTTTCCATTGCCCAAGAAGGATGCATCATTCTTCATGCTGGGGTGCTTGAGGTTGGAAACTTTTAATCTTCCTCCCTCTTGGATATGTTTTTTCTTTTTAATATACACTCACCTGGTTTATTGTCTCTTTTAAAGGTAGTTTGATGTGTGAACAGCAGTTAACTCAGTGTATTTGTGGGATATCACTGAATAAATATCCTGGTCTGAGTCCTAAACTATACAATCTCTTACCATCCTAAATATGCATTAATATTTTATGGCATTCAACATAGATTACCCAGGACTAGGTTACATTAACCTTCTCAAATATGAGTTCATACAGATATTACTTTGAAAAGGAAATGTAGAGAGACTCTATTGTAGTAAATATCAAAGTATAGCCTGTGACTCAGAGCATTTCATTCACAGTTTGATGGCCCTTCTTGCCAATGTGCTAAGAATTATGATGTCTGAATCTGGAAAGGAGAATTGCAACTTTTCAATGATTCAAAATTCTCCTGTGAGGTGTTCAATCTCACCCCTTTGCCCATACACCTACTAATCCAGTGCAAAAGTATCTCTGGATGTACATGTATCAGCACTCAATTCAACTGAGAAAAGTAGAGCCTCATTCTGGTCTGTCTTTTGAAAAATGCTTCAAACAGAGAGTATGTGGTAATTTATGTGTAATCCTAAAAATGGCAAGTTAGAGAAACAGAATTATGAAGATTACTTTTAAGTGGAATTGTGCTATAACAAACTTATCTTGTCAAGAAAGAGAGTTGAGAAAGGAAAGGACAATATTTAAAGTTTACAAGAGGGCAAAAATATGAAGCCCATCATCCACAGTTATTTCAAACAATAAAAGTTTATGAGAAAACCTCTCTGTCCTACTTACTAGGTCATTCATCTCCTATCTCCCAAGGGTAAGACACTTACTTACTTAGAATTTTTCATTCTTCAATACAGTGCGGAATTAACTGTTCATACCTGAGCAGATGACTCCTGCATCTTCACTGTGTGAGCAGTCATTTTTGCCCCAGTCCTCTGAAAGGCACTGCCACAGATGGGACTCCTCTCCTGTGCACTTCAGCTCATCCAGCCAGATGGGCCCTGATCCCTTCCCAAAGGGTGCCTTGTGCATGGCATTGAGGGCCTCACCACAGCCAATTTGTCTGCACACCACATGAGCTTCTTTCAGGTCCCAGTTGTCATCACAGACAGTGCCCCAGGAATGCTGGTAAAGGATCTCCACTCTGCCTGCACAGCGACTGTCCCCATCCACCAGGCGGAGCTTTGGGCTCTCTGAGGAGAAAGAATCATGTCAATTGTTGCATTTATAAGAGAATGGGAAGCCTTTTCTTATCATATTCTACTGCCTTCTACCAACTAAGCTTTCAGAATGCAGAGTTTGCTGGAGAAGACATGGAGTCATCACACCAGGGCAGCAGCAAAGTATCAATTCCTAACAAAACAAGTAGAAGAATTAATTGTGTATAAAAATGAAATTATATCCATTGTAATTTAGTAAGTAGTCTCAGGTAGAAATTTTGTAGGTCCTATCAGAGTTAAACTTGTTATTGGCAGAGTTCTTCATAAGGTGTGATAAAACACTCCTAGACATGTCAAGATTCCTACTTTGAATAGTTGAAAGTATCTTTTCTCTCAATGATTTCTAAGATTTAATGTAATGTGCTAGCATCTGAATTGATTTCTTATAAAGTATGCATGTGTCAATGGTTTGGCATTTGGAAGGATGAGAGCACAGAGCATGGAGTAAAGAACAGGGATTAGATCATCAGAAGGCTCCAGTGACTGCTATGAATCCAAGAAAAAATACATTATATAGGCATTAAGACTAAAAAATAAATGGATCATGAGGCAGACAATGGTTTACCTCAAAATATTTCACTTATGATTTTAGATTTCAGAGATAAGATCTGAATATTCAATTTCAAATTTGTGTTCACTTTAGGTAGGTTGAGCAATCTCCCCAAAAGATGATTTCAGATGTGGATATTGCTCAGATGCCATAAGGAATCATAGAATGTTACTTTTTCCCCAAATAAATTAAATAATAGCTTGGATTTCCTATCAAGAGTTGTTATTCAAAAATAGGAGTTCTTAATGAGGAGGCAAATAGCAAAATAGAATTACTTTTGTTGTGTCTGAGAATGAAAAGAGGGAACACAGGGGAAACTGTATTCTCAGAAGAGAAAGGGAGGATTTGGGACTAATTTTAAAAATGATAGGAATTTTAAATAACTCAGAGGAGCATTAAGGAAGCCCAGAGAAAAGTACAAAGTAATTTACAAGTTCAACTTCAGCTGCCTGGTGAGGGAGGCAACCTGCAAGCATAAGGTAAGCTGGAGAGTGCAGACAACCCAGATGGTGTCAGCAGAGCAGCAGTCTTAGCTGTGGGAGAAACACATGGTTCTTATAAGCTTTAGATCAAGTTTGAGGAATTGTTCTCAGAGAACTCCTCCTACACAGCCAGAGAGCTTTAGACAATTCATGCCAATGCTCAGCAAGCTCTCAAAGTGCTACTAAGAACCTATCATGAGAGGGGCCTATTGTAGGGGATAAACTGTACTGGGATTAGAAAATATAGATCAATCAATTCAAGGTCCCTGGGTCACCTTGCTACCATAGTGGGGTGCAGTACTAATGTACTCTAAAATCTCAGATAGGGAGAGTGCCTGCTGCAAACATACTGAAAGGATTGAGTGGCAGAGAAGGGCTTAGAATCCTCATTAGGAAGTGGTCCTTCCCTCTGTGAAGAAGAGTGATTCCATTCACATGTGCTTACACATAGGGGAGAGAGCTCAGAGAACACATCTGATGATTCGCCCCATTCCCATATCCCCTCTCCAGGGTGGAACTGAATGATTTGATTGCTTACACCACTTTTCACAGGCATTCAAGGATTCACAATTCTAGGACACTTCCATGGGCAATGACTAAAGGCCTCTGGAACAAATGTATGCCCAATAGTGGGATCCACAAAAGCATTGAAGGAAGGACTTGTGGTAACTCTGACTTTTGCAATGCTTCCAGGTTTGTAAACAAAATCCCTCCAGTGTGATTATGGCCTGCCCCATCAACATTTCCTTACCCTCCATGGCAGGAAATTAAGATCACAGTGCAGCCAGCATATCACACCAAATCCCAGAACATTTAGTGGGAAGTGATAGGAACTACAATTGGTTTCTTTTGCAGGCTACTAATTCCCCATACCTGATGCATTTAAATATTAGATCACCTGGAAACAGGGATCTCCAGTGTAAATATTTTACATGGGAAGCTTTTTTGACACATTTTAAATCATTTTTTACCTTATATATTCTTTTACTATTTAATTAATTTATTTTTAAAATTCTTTATAAGAATTTTCTCATTTTTCCATTTCTTTACATATATATTTTTTTAATATCCCAATCTTTCTCCATATTTATTTTCTTTCTATAATTTTCCTTCTTGAGTTATTTTTTTCTTTTATTAACTTTTGACATTCTTATTTATTTATTTTTCCCCTTATCTATGGTTACTGCTGTTTTAGTTGTTGTTCAGTGTAATTAATTATTAATGTATTTATTTAGCTTGTTTATTTTATGTTGTTGTTATTGCTATTGTTTGTTTTCTTCTTTCTGAGTCATGATGGTGACCATATATGATCATATATGAAAAGCACACTTCAAAATAAGTTAGAAGAAACAAAGAAGGTAACTACATTGTGGTAAGTTGAAGAAACTATCAAAAAGATATAATGATTATAAATGCATTATAAATTCATATGGAACAGAACATACTATTTTGTAAAACAAATCTTATAGGATATAAAGGGAAAATAAACTTGAATACAATGCTAATGATGTCTTAATATTTCACTAATAACTTAGTCATCCAGACAAGATATCAACAAGAGTACATTATACATCAAGTGAACATAACAGCTACAGAGTGTTCCACCCAACAGCTGCAGAATACACATCGTCTTCATCTGCAGGGCAGCACTCAGCTTCAGAGTTGTACTCTTCACAGATGAATGAAAACTAATCCTCCTATAGTCTGACTAGCTCATGACAAGTGTAAAATTCATTCACTGAACATTCTTAGAGCTTTGGCTGAGTATCAGACTGCTGTGGAAAGAGATCCTGAAGTGACCCAAGCAGCAGCATCAGAAAAAAAAAACTAAACATTCTCTTCTTCTCTTTAAACAAATCTTCAAGTACTTTTGGATCATTTATGATTTTCTAGCATTCTGTTATGAAGTTTCATTCACCCAGAAGCTATGGAACAGAGGTTCTGAATAATATATGACTTAGAAATCTCAGTCTGCTATCAACTATACACAATAAGGTGATCCTTGCCTGTATTTCTCAGGGATCAATGGATTCTTGCAAATGATGAGGTGTAAACAGTGCACAGTCAGGGGATGGATCAGATGCAGGTGTGCACTACTCTACAAACCAAGATCACCTGATTCTAAAAGATGGATATTACTATGGCCTACCCACGCCTTCAATTAGAAGTGTGTTCATTATATTACAATGGTTTAAACACAGAACTTGGTTTTAATTTCAAAAGTAGAATTCCTTTGTAATATTTTACTGGCTGATAAGAATCTGGAGATAAAAAATTTCTCATCTTCTTTTCCATTTCCAGATGGCTGAGGTAAAAATATCACCAATTTAGTGAGCTCCCCTCCTCATATCTGTGCTTTTCATACAATAATGTATTCATGAATAGAAGTTAGGTGCCATACTGTATGTGTTGCTCAGTCTGTACAATCTACAATAGTGAATAAACATATTTCAGAATGTTATGATTGGTTTATTTAGACCTCTGTAATATAGATACAAAAATGATCAAATATATATTCAGAGTAGCCCATCTTGAATGCAGTGGAGTAGAATATGTAATAACTTGAGTATGGTTTAGAGGCCTACAGTGGTTGGCATTTACCTGTAATGGCCATTTTTCATGGTTTACTGCAGAAACTGGCAGACATCTTCCCCCTTTGATTTGTAAACAACACTTATTGTGGAAGTACTGCTTGGAGTTTTGAAACACATAGTAAGCCTACAGCCTGAGGCCTTTGTTTAGAGATTGATATTAAACAAAATATCTGATGCTGGGTTTCTTAATGTTAATTTTCACTACAAATGATAGGCACTCAACTAAAAGTGGATTGATACATAAAACTGTAGAGATCACAGAAAAGATGAACTTCTGAAGAAAAATCATTAGGAATGGGGACTTGATGCTTCTAAAACATTTCTTCCACATTTCCTTCCCAAGTCCTGATTCTTTCCATTTACCTTTGCTCTTTAGATATGTCTTTCCCACACAGCTGAGACTGTGGACCCCAGAATGTATATTTGATCCACAAGAATATGGTAAAATCAGGGCAGTGATTGATCTGTTTTGTGTTTTGGGAGGAGGTAGTTACTAGTCCATCAGGGATAGTGGATTAGTAGTGCACCATCAGCACAGTATTGATAAAGTGATGGTGCACCAAAAGAAGAGATATTTAGCAGCAAATAGGAATGCATCTACTAAATTTATAAAAATAAATATAACAGGAAATACGTAGGACTCTTCTAAAAGCAAAAAAAAATATTTTCTATTCAAATTTATTATATATGACAGCAGAATGTATTACAATTCATATTATAGATATATACCACAATTTTTTTATATCTCTGGTTGTACACAAAGTTGAGTCACACCATCCGTGTCTTCATACATACACTTAGGATAATTATGTCCATCTCATCCCACTGTCTTTCCCTTCCCTTTGCACTATCTAGTGTTTGTCTAATCCTACAATGTTCCCCCTCCAACCTCATTATGAATCAGCATTCTTATATCAGAGAAAACATTCAGCATTTGGGTTTTTTGGGGATTGACTAACTTCACTTAGCATTATATTCTCCAACTCCATCCATTTACCTGCAAATGCCAAGATTTTATTCTCTTTTAATGATGAATAGTATTTCATTAGACAAACTAAAGAAATTAAAGGGATACTTAAAGGAAAAGAAGAAGTCAAATTAGCACTTTTGACAATGATATGATTGTATGCCTAGAGACCCAGAAAATTCCACCAGAAAACTTCCAGAACTAACTAATAAATGAATTCAACAAAGTAGCAAGATGTAAAATCAACACCCATAAGTCAAAGGCATTTCTGTATATTAGTGACAAATCCTCTGAAAGGAAAATGAGAAAAACTACCCCATTTACAATAGCCTAAAAAATAATAATAATACTTGGGAATCAACTTAATGAAAGAGGGGAAA